AAATATGTTTTGTGGAAATCCCATGAAATAAGTGTCATTTCGAGCAACACATTACAGAGTACGATCAACACTTGATCCAAATTTACAACAATTGCTCACCACGTAAATTAACACGAACGAATGTAAGTCAGGGATAAAGGATAAGTTTGTAAACACTGATACTAAATGGATGCTGTAATACTTCTTCATGCAGGCTAACCAAGTTTTTGGTCTCAAACTTATGCGTAAAAATCCGATGAAAACGAATCTTTTCACATGCCAATGTCTTTGCTATAACATCATTACGATAACCTTGCTTCAATAATTTCAAGGATTTTGTTCATGAAATTAATAGTAGAAATAGCTTTTACAGTACCAACTACTCAAAAGTTAACTAATTTGTAAATTACATTTTCTGAATGTGTATTTTGTTCAAAATGCGTTATAGGTGCTGTCTGAGTGGTGCGGTGCGGTTTACCATATTTTCTTAATAATGCGAAATACGAAATTACATAAACCCAGCAATGCAAGTTTATTCCAAACAAGAAAAAAAAAGGGAAATGCTCTTCTCTTCTTCTGTTGATATAATAATACATAGCGTAGTAGTAGTTGTAATATTTACTATACACAATTTGTAGTTGGGTTTTGAGATACTATGTTGACCCATTTATTATCATTATTGGAATGGCGATAATAAATACTTTCACACACCCGCATACAAAAAAATCTTATTCTCTTTCTTTTTCTCACTCTTTAATAGCCATCGTTTGTGTTGCATTAAAAATACATAGAAATCCTACGAGAAATTAAATATTTTAAAATAGAAAAGCAAAAAAAAAAATTACCACTTAGAGAGAGGGAAAAAAAGCAAAACAACGTCGAAAGTACGTAGAAAAAGAAGAAAAAAAATCTAAAGCAAAGTGTACAAGTGCTAGTAATGACATGATTAAGTTCATTTTACTTTTTACTCGTCTTCTATGTTTATAAACTATGTAATTAGAAACCCTAACATCATAAAAGAGTCAAACAAAGTATTCTACAGATATTATACATATACACATATATCCCCCTGTACACATACATTTACATGCAATCGGAAGTCAAAAAGCAACATAAAAAAAACATCGGCTTTTAACCGAAAGACAAACATCTAATTTAAGAAAAAATTTCAAGTATTTTTTACAATCTGTACTTCATTAACGTTTAATAGAGTGCAGATAAGTAACTAAAAAAAAAAAAAAACTATAGAGACGTATGGTTAAGATATCAACTGCAAAACTTTTACCACATCATTTGAGTTTATATTCAAAAGAAAACAACTAAGAAGATTATAGTCGGGCAAGGCCAATTATTAGAAACCCTAAATCACTTCGCCTAATACAGCTATTCACACGTTTTGGTAATAATACACTCAAAGTTAGATATCATTTTCACGTAAAGGTATACCTTTCATTAAAACCCGTCTATAGGAGAAATCCTTAAATGCGGTGGTATCCAAAATATAGACCGTGTGGTCCGTGATAATACGTTGTAAGTCCAAATATTTTTACAGAGCGAGTTTCGTAGAGAAATTTTGAAAATTACAATTATTTTCCATGTAATGACTTTTCAAAATAGGACTTTTTATATAGTAAGCGGAGGAAATGTGGTCCGATCCAAACCATTTTCAATAGCGTTCGCACTTGCATCGAAGCAGATTGGTGACCAAATTTCGAAGTTGAAATATCTCTAAAATTGCGATCTTGAACCCAAAGCTTGCGAGCTTGACCACAAATATATATTGACAGATTATAGATGGACAGACAGATAGGCATAAATTTGATTCAGAAAATGATTCTGAATCCATCGGTATAATAAAACGTGGCTCTTAGTCTCTCCGCGTGTTACATTCGTCCGCACAAACTTGATGTACTCTGTACCGCAACTAGTATAGGTTATAAGTATTACTTACTATTAAATGAATTTGGAATGTTTTTGAAAATATTTAAGGCATCAATCAATATCAGTTTTAAGAGTTAACACGAGTTAGTTGTACTATGAGATAAAAAAATAATTTTTAAAAATCCGTTCAGTTATGTAGAAATTAAATCTATATTGAAAATTACTTTGACTTCTTTGCGGAATGGAAAGGCCGTTATTCATAATTTAAGAGCATTTGAGAGCAGCTGATTATTAAACTCTCCATATAATTTTTAACACAAATATCTTGGGGCAGCCTAGCGAACATACCGAAAACACATAGTGTTCAAAGTGGCGGGTGAATCCATCTCAACAAAAATGGATGTGAGTTAAAAAGCGCCATTTTCCATTAAAATAAACGTAAGGGAAACCATATGAAATGTATTTATTATTGGGTCGAAGCGGCCACCAGAAGACCATATAAATATTAGGGACTGTCTGCTTAAAATATTATAATATTAAAATCTTAAATTTTTTAGAGAAAAGAAAAAGAAAAGTTGCTGGTTTGCAAAGCGATTAATGCAAAACTTCTATTGAGAGACCTGATATATCGGAGGCAAGACGACAAACCTTGACTAAAAAAAAACAAAGTCTGACGAAGAAAAATCCACAAGTTAGCTTTAAAGGTCTTAACATTATATACCTAGGCTAACTTAAGAGAAAACCATTTGCAATTGACGTTTAATACGACAGTAACCGGGTCCTTCTAGAAAAAGAATTGTGTTAGCAAAATATCAAAGTCGAACACATTTTATTGACTTTTGACGTTTTGCTGAAATAATCGCTGCGTTGATGGAAAATTATTTAAATCAAATTTCTCGTCCATAAATTGTTGCCATGCCTTTTTGCGATTGGCTTAGCTTCTCAACTTTTGAAAAGATGATCGGTATTTTTGTTTTGATTTCAAAATTAGTCAAAGAAAAATTACAGATCAAGATATAGAATATTAAAAACAAAATAGTTGAAACTTAAAAATCGAGAATGTATCGTGCGATGCCTCCGATGATAACTTGCAAAACAGTATTGCAAAATAACTGAGAAAATTGGTCAGTCCTTTCCTTTCCGCACAGTACTTTGCGCGCAAAACGCAAGACTTATGTTCAAGATGTCGACTCAAAGCTTTGGAAAGCTGCCTCCTATTTTTGTTTTTCTTGTTAGATTGCTCAAACAAGAGAAAGATGAGGAAAATCTTTCATCAGCGCATGTAGTGATGTTTTTCGTTTTTATTCACTAGTGGCAGAAAATGATATAGGGAGGCTTACGACCAATTTGCCTTGAGGTGAAAGCTTCACAAGCACCCACACGCATACTTTTACACCCGTTTAAAAGCAGCGTTTTAAGAATTTCAAATTTTTATTAAGTGAACATTAACAGATTTGCTGTTGTCGTTGTCCTCTTTTCCTCTTTTTTACCCGCCATCGAAGGAGAGTGTATGTATCCTTGATCAGTATTAAATACACAAGCGATGTAACTGGCTGTCTGCCTGCCAGGTTAATAGTGAAAACGGGCAAAATCGGTAAAAGGCGTGCCACCGTGTAGCACATCTATTAGTGTAATTTCTTGCTCGTTTTATTTTCGGCGTTTTGATTTTTTTTTAGCGGTGAAAATGGTAGGTATGAAGACTTCGCTCACGGCCGAATATAATTTTCATATTTTTTTTTCTTTCTTAAGTTTTTGTTCATATTTTATAAACATAATTCTATATTTTATTTTTTGTACCGAATCTCTAAAGCAATGCTCAACTTTGTCATTGTCGTCAGTTGATGGAAATAATGTCATGCCCTTGAGCTGTATGCAAACTTATACGGTGACAATCGTAGCAACAGCGCAGTCTAAGTTAATTTAAAGGACATTTCATTATTTGTTTGAACGTTATTTCAACGCAACATTACTACAAATGTGATGTGAATATTAATTAAATTAAAACTCAAGCGTGCCATTTCTCCGACGATCGAATCCGTTCACTCAATACTCTACCTACTTTTCACTTAAATAAT